CATTCTTTACATGAATTGCCAAATGTTCTGGGGAAAAGAAATCTATCATTACCTCTTTTGACACCACACTGCTGCCTCGCTCTCTAGGGGAGATGATATGATTTACATACTTAAATATTTTGCTGTAGTGTGAAGCTGCTTTGCAGTCTGGCAGCTGTTATTGGCTGTTATGATGATCAAATAACACTATGGGAGTTGGTAAATAGGAAGGAAGCAATGCTAGAAGGACAGTAAAGCACTAATATTTAGGTTTGGATTAATCTAGCAATTCTGTCAACCAACTGCAACCCTGGGGGATCATTTGCAGTGTTAGCCCAGACATGCTACTTCTGTTTCATGTGATAAATCCATGAATAATCCAGTCTTCCACGAGCATATTGCCCCACATACAACCAACCTGCAGATGAAATGAAGAGGTCTCTTTTTCCTTAGTGGTCATGCTAAGCGAGGCTCTTACAGCAAGGAGGGTGCATGCTTGGGGTGGGAGAGGTTTGGTATCAGGAGGAGCTGTTGTGACCCCTTAAACCAAGAGCTGGCCTCCCTGGGAAGGGGACAGTCTGTGGCCCTGCTCTTGTGTATCTGCCTGGCACAGGGACAGCCTCTAGGGGAAGGAGTTCCCTACCTGCCAAGGCAGTAAATGGGCAGCTGCAGCTCAGCAGAGAGAACAGCAGCAGCCAGGAAACCTCAGCCCCACCCGAGAGCACCAGGCACAAGTGTCTGAGTGGAGGGTGGGGTGAAGACACTGGAAGAAAATGGGAACTGAGAAAGAAGAGGATTTTATGTTAGATAATGTGTCTGAGAGATGACTTGAAGTCATCATTTCTCTATTGTGAAGGGGTTTTTTGGTATTTTTCCCTACCAGTTCCATACTGGTGTGGAGCAATAGCTTTGTTTTGGTCCATAAGCCTAAGCCATGATGCTGTCAGTCATGGGGCATTTATCTTCACAAAGTATTTCTGACAGGGAGGGTGTCTTTGTAGTCTCTATAACCTCTCTCTTTTTTCCCCCCCGTCCCCTCTGTCACACGTGAATTTATTTGAGGATAATTTCAATTGAAGTTGTTAGGGTTTTTTTGTTTGGTTGGTTTGGTTTGGGGGTTTTTTTTGGTGTTTTGTTTTTGGTTTTGTTTTTTTTTTTTAAGCCAAGGGTTTGGGAACCAGCCTTCAAGGTAACCCACTTCCTGGTAGCTTCGACCCCAGGCTCTGCTCTTGTTCACACAATCAAACTGCACCATACTTTCCCATGAATTGGGCACCTCTAAGGTCAGACTGTTTGACAACTGCACATGTCGGTATATTTGTTTGTGCTGAACAGAGCTAGTGCTTACCCAAGCAGAAACAATAGAGCAGTGTTACCTAGGCCTGCCTCTGCAAGGTGGTAATTACTGGGTTGTTAGCTCTGAAGTATTTTGTGATCAGGAGTTTTGCAGTAATAGTACATGAGAGGAAGTATATTATGGCTGTGCTTATTTTTAATTATTGCAGATGCTTTTATGTGCACTCACTTAAAAGTAGCCTAGAGAATAAAACTCTACTGTCTGACAGTAAAATCAAAGTGCTGAAGCTACTGTTGAGTGGGTCTGGAAGCTGATGAAACACTTAAACCCTGAGCTCAACAAAACCTTGAAGCTCAAGTGATTCTTTAGCTATTGCTCCTCTGCCCAACAGGCTTGGAGAAGACTATACAGAATTTGAAATTAATTATCCTGCACCACTAGCACCAGTGCTTGGAGGACATCTCAGCACTGTGAACATGCACTTCACACTGAAGTGTGGGATCTTGTTTTCATCTTTGAGGCTTGTTGTGTGAGCCTCAGTGCTCATGACATCATATTAACTGTTCAAATTGTGTTGAAGTTCTTGTTCTGTTTGCTTAGCAACTTGAATCAGCCATTGCAACAGTGGGGAAAAAAACACAAACATTCTTTTAGATTATTTGGCATAATGTACCTATCTTGCTTTCTCTGTAAATCTGTATCAGTACGATGATTACTGGTCTGAAACTGCATTCTGGCACAATGCTCTGTAAATATCTAATATTGTTGAAATGATCAAAACTCACAGAAATTCTTTTCTAGCTTCAACACATCGGTATATGCAAAATGACACACACATAAAAAAAAGATTGATTTGTATGTGTGCAAATCCTATGATTTCCAGGCAGGAAAAAAATAAGGTGACATTCAGGTTTACTTACTTTACACATTAAGGGCATATTACAGTATGGAAAATATCACTAACAGGCTGTCAAAGGTACATCAACTTCTGAATTTCAGTTAGCTTCTTTGGTGGAAAGTTACTGCTGTAGGAGCAAAAGGTAATAAATCCAGCATTCATTTTTGGGGCTAAACTGACATCTGCTGGTGTTCTGTAATACAGAATGTGCAATTAGTGTGATGACCAAACATACACTGTGTTCTGTGTAGGTTTCCCTTTCCCTGGTGCTGTTGGCAGCCCCGGTGATGACTCAGGAGAGCACAGAGAGGTGTAACAGTGAACGGAGCAGGTGGGGCTGCCCAGCACATCCTGCCACAGGACTGGTGATGCAGCAGAGCTCTCGTGGTTATCTCGTACTGCACTCACACTTCAAGCTTCTGAAACTGCCATGTGGTCTTTCTTTTCTTAGGATTTTTTTAAAAACAAGTAGTGTTTATAATCTTCAGGTACGCAGCTCACAGGGGCAGGGGGAGAGGTAAATAAGATGTAGCAGTTTCTAGCTGGGTTTCCTCATGCAGGCCGTGTCCCCACCCAGCCACCTGGTCTGCTGCAGGAAGAGACCTGCCGTGGGTTCCACTGCTCGGGCAGCAGCTTTGGGGAGCTGTGCTGGTTTGCTGGGGGAGCACCCTGCCTACCCTAGGCAGGCTGGCAGGCTGCAGCTCTGTTCCATCAGTCTGAAATCTGGCAGAAAATAACTCCCCTGTTGGAGATCAAAGGGGCTGGAAGCAGCTGGGCTTAATTTCTGGTTATTACCAATTTGGCATTGTAAGTCTGGTTGTATTTAATAAGAACATTCGCAATCACAGATTCACAAATCGTGCTGTTTCACTGAAGAAACTGCCCTACCCTTCACCCCAGACACTCTGCAGTGCTGAAGCCTCACTCGAGTGAGGTGTAAAATAAGCAAGTTGCCCAACTCAGCCCCATAAATTCTCCATAGCAAACCTGCCAATTTTCCACAAGCTTGCCCTCAAAAACTGGGAATAAAACTCCTTAACACCACTGTAGTATTACGAAGCAGGCATTACTTTATCACAGCTGTCAATGCACGGAGGGAAACTCTGCCTAACCCACATGGTTGGCTCAAGATGGTACATGTATTTATTAGCCAGGATATATATATATAAATATATATATCCTTCAGAAAAGTGTTACAGTTTGTTACTTTGGGGGCCACAGAGCGCCTAAAGTGGATTGGGCTGACTTGACTTATTACCAAACTGTCAAAGTTCCACCGACCATTACATAACATTCTGTTAACTGTGATCTCTGTGCCATTTGCAGCAAGCTCCCAGATCCTGGGCTGACCTGGCCAAGCACTGACAAAAGCGATTCTTCTTTTGCCCAGTGCCATCCAGCAAAATGGCTGGAAAGGCAGGAACTGGAGAATGGTGAGCTGGGGGGGGGGTAGGGAGGGCAGTTAGTGAGGGGAAATGCACTCCTGGTACGTGGATGCCAATCATCTGCTGTATTTGGACACTGGATGGAAACAGTGGTAGGGCAAAAAGGAGAAATGCTGCTGGGGTCCCCAAGGAGGACCACGAGCCAGCCTCTGATTAGATGCAAGAAGAAACACAGGAGAGAGCATGGCAATTGGAGTAAGAAGGCTTCCAGTTGAAGGTCATGCCTTATTTCGTCCTGGGAGATGTGTTCAGTCATGGCCTCCCTCTCCTGTGGCTTCTAAGCTGCTCAGAGCCACCTTGGAAAGGGGACTTAGTTACTAAGAGAACAATTATTCCAATTTTAGTAATCCAGGGCGCCAAAGCCAAAATTACTCATGTTCTGCTCCTGAGAAAAATAACATGTGATGTGATTTCTTGAAAATGATGTAAATTTATTCACCTCTATGTCTAGTTCTAATCTCACTGAATGCTGCTGAATCACATCCACACCTTCTCCCTGTCCCTCCCAAATCAGGGAATGGGAGCATTCATGCCCTCAATACTCCAACACTGTTGACATCCCCAATCACCAGGTGATTCAGTAGTTACTGTGACTGCAGAGCTTCATGTTGGGCTCACTATCACTGGGCTAAGAGCCCCTTTAGTCCTGTAAAACCTGACTCCTTGCTCCAGTATGGGTTTGAATTGAAACTTTATTCATGTTACTTGAGGTCCAAGAAAGGATTTAAATACGAAAGTAGGACTTAAACCACTTATAGATGCTTTCAGCTAAAAGGCCTAATGCACAGTCCTTGCTGAGCCCGCAGGGGTCATTGACTCCCTTCAGTCTGAGGTAGATTCACCCAAACTACAGCACATGAAGCGATCCCTGTTGAATCCTTTTCAGGGGTTTGACCAGTAATTCACTTTTTGTGTTATCTTGGAGCTGGCTAGAGGAAGGAGTGACATACTCCATGTATTCCAAAGACTGCATCCAACTTAATTGCTTGTAAAAGCACTAGGTAAAATCACTGAATCTGTCGAAGGTTTTGTTGAACATTCTATGTGCTCTTGCACGTTGTCTGAAAGAACTGATCTGGTAACCTACGGGGCGTTGTAGAATTAGGGGAGGGGTTTCTTCCTCAAATGTTACAGAACACGGAGCCTGGAAAGTTTATCGCCGGTTCGTCAATCTGCGAGCGAACTCTTGGCAAGCGCCGCGGAGTTCCCGGTCCCGGGGACTGCCAAGTGCGTCAGGAGTGACTGTTCTTCCGCCCAGTTTCCCCCTTCCCGCTCCCCGCCGCCCGCGCCCAGACGCGCCGCTCCCGGTGCCGGTGGGTCCGCGGAGCGCTCGGGAGAGGCGGCTCCTGCTGACAGCCAGGGGAAGGGGAGGAGGAATCGCGGGTGGGGACGGGACGAGACGGGACAGGACAAGCCCTGCTGACGGGGGTGCACCCGGCCAGCGGAGCGGCGAGCAGAGCAGAGGAGGGTCGGCGGGCACGGCCCGGAGCGGTAAGGGCTGTGCCCGGAGCCGGGAAGGGCAGGGCAGGGCAGGGCAGGGGGGCTTTGCTCCCGGCCCCGAGCGCTGCCCTTCCCGGCCGAGGGAGCCCCCGGGGCACCGCGGGCTGGCTGGGGCTTGGGCGCAGCGGAGACCCGGGCGGGCGGCCCCGGCACGGTCCGCACAGCGCAGGAGGCCGCGGGTCGTGGCTCCTGCTCCGGGGGGAGCGGGCTCGGGGCCGGAAAGGCCGGAGTTTCGTTTTCCCGAGTGCTTGGGGCGGCAGCCGGAACGGCCCCTTTTCCCCAGGGAATGCGCTTGGGAGCGGCTCATTTGGGACGGGCCGTGCCCTGCCCCGGGGGGAGGGGGGGGGGGTGAGCACCCGGCACCCGGGGTGAAGCCGCTCGCAGGATTATTCCGAGGCTCTTGATTATTTGGTTGATTACGGGGGGAACACAGCGTGTGGTGCTATTTCTGCTTTACCAGTATAAAATTCCCTGTGACCTCAGTGCCATTGTTTGTCTTACTAAAATTATAGTATGTCACAGTCTTGGGTTTTTTGGTAATTGTTACTGAATTTTATTCTCTCCAAAAAGCCTGAGAAGTTTAAACGTCTTCAAGATAATGTTTCTCAGCAGGCTGGTAAACTAGGAAGTTGTCCGGAGTTGAGATAACGGGGTGGTGGCCCAAGTGAGTGCTGTGTTAGGGCTTGCTGCTGTGCACTCCCAAAGTCCCCAGTGCTCCCATAAACCTGTATGTCCTGCCCGATTGTTAACAAAAATTCGCTTCAACCTCTTTCAATCCAGGTGCTGATCAGTAGCTGTCTTAAACTCTGCCGTGCAGGGAGCCCCTCTAAGTACCCGTGGTGTTGGAGGGCAACTTGGATTTTCTAGTGAAGAGGACTGTATAGAAATTATTTAAGGGTTAAGTTGTGTTAAGTTTTAGCAAGAGATTATGGGAAGGGCAACAACAGATTTGTTTGGCTAAACTGGGTTAGGAAAGCTGTATTTGTAAGCAATTCTTTACTGGGTGGGTTGTTGGTTGCTTGGTTGGTTTGTTTTTTGCATACCAAGCAGAGAGGTGAGCTATTACCTTCTTTCTCTCTTGTCCCCAGCCTCATATCCAAGCAGTGACCCGGATTGTGAGACACAGGCTTGCACTGGCTGGATGAAGTGATAGTTCAGTCTCTTGGTTCACATTTAAAGCAGAAGGGACATTAGAAAAATGAAGTTGAAAAGCTGAAGTTGTGGTTACCTTCACAATACTCAGTATTTTGAAGAGATTTTTTGTAGTCCTGGTGTCATCTTGATCTTTATTAAGAATTTTTGTTTTGGTAGATAACTTAAAGGGATTCACATGTGCTTTTAGTCTTATACCATTCACTGTAGGACTTTGTAAATGTTACATGTACTACAGATTTGAAACTTTAAAAAAAGGCAGGCACGGGGGAGGTGGTTGCCATGCCAGGGATGCCACAAAGTGCTGTGAAGACCTGAGGCCTGTTTGCATCTGTCTTCAGGAAAGGGAGGGGAGGGGGGGGGGAAGAAAGTGCAGAAAAAGCACAGCGGTCATTTTTAATTAGAAACAGTTGTTCAAAAGCAGTCAGTGGTAAGAAATGAACACGCAACAAAATTTAAAAATAACTATTGACTGTTAAATATCGAGACTAGAAGTGTTCAAGCTGGAAGTTACGATCATGATCATTTTGAAATCTGTGAAAGGGTGTTGATCTCTTAGAACTCGCCCTTCAGTGACGCAGAGCTGAGGATGGCCTTTGGTCGAGCAGTGTCTGCACAGCAGAAGTAGCTGTGTTGTGGTTTGACCCCGCCTGGCAATTGAGCACCAGCAGCTGCTCCCTCACTGCCCTCTCAGAGGGACAGGCTGAAGAGAACTGCAAGGCTAACAGTGAGAAACCTCATGGGTTGAGATAAGAACTGTTTCATAATTGAAATAAAAGAACAATAAAAATAGTAATTTAAAAGTTGTAGTGAAAAGGAAAATAACAGATGGAAATAAAACCCAGCAAATGATGCAAATGAGAACAATTACTCACCACCAGCCAACCAATGCCCAGCTAGTCCCTGAGCAGCATTTCCCTCCCAACCACCTTCTTCCTCGATTTATTGCTGAGTGTGATGCTGTATGGTCTGGAATATCCCAGCTGGGGTCAGCTGTCCCAGCTTCTGGTGCACCCACAGCCAAAACCAGCACATCGTGACTGGGGGCAGTAGATCCTGATTCAGCTCTGTAGTTTAGTCACAAGGGCAAAACTTTTCTAAAGAAAACAGAAGGTCAGTGGGTTTTAAAAGTATAGCTGTGAGATACTTGATAATACAAAAACTGTCACTAAAACTTACTCAGCTTAGACATCTTTGGCTCCTCTCTTGTTCCCTTGTCAGTCTGCCAAAGCTGCAGTGTGAGTGTGAGAATGGTGGGAAGGAGCAGTGCCTGTCCCCAGGGTTACCAAATTACTGTCCCTGCCTACACAGTGTGCACGTAGCCACGTCTGTCCCTCTGCACCAGCTCCTGGTTACTTAGTTTGGCCTGACCACTGTAAAACCCACACTGGACTGAGTACACAGTTCCCTTTCTAACAAACCTTTTCACATTTCCACTTAGTCTACTGGGAAGACTGTTGGACTACTGAAATGTATAAACACTGGTGTTTGCTGATGTATCACCACGCCTCCAGTGCAGCAGATTAGCCCTGTGTGACCTGGAAGAGTGAACAAACTTGTGACAAGTTCTTTATAGAAGCGTTTATAGACATCACTGAAATCCCGATGAAAGCCCTGCTGTGTAAGGAAGGCAATTGCTGATATTCCAGAGACTTTTTCCATGCTCCCAAGAAAGCAGAAAGGCTTGTGTCATTGTTGGGAAGCCTGCATGGAGTGACTCCAGCCCTAATTGAATACTTAAGACTGAAATTCTTTTTTTTCTTTGCACATTGTCTGTTATCCCTGCAAAGTTCTCTGTAGGTTGAAAGGGCTTTTTGACTTGAGAAGCATAGTCAGCGAAAGAGTAAAATTAAGAGGTGCTCCCTGGAGCCTGTTTTGAAAACGTTGAAGATGGAAATGTGTACAGGAATGGGCTTGGTTGGAAAAGAGCAGATGGATTGCAAAGGGATTTGGTTTTGTTGCTTAGAAATAACACTTGCACTTTTTTTTTTTTTTTTGAGGTTTGCAGTCTGGAGATGTGTGTCCACAGAGCCTTATCCTTCTAGCTGAAGGTCTAAGGGGGAGATTTTTGGATGGTGCATGAGGAAAAGCTGAATAAATAGCTACCAGAGGAGGAGCCACCAAGAATTTTAGATTACTTTTTTTTTCCTTTTTGGTGGGTGGACAGGTGGTACATACGATAAGGGGGATAAGGATTGGCTGCTGACTCATCACTAGAATTGGCTCACAGGGCTGATGAGGCACTGAGGGTGATTGGCTGCATAGCTGAACTCTGCTTGTGCTCAGCTGGTGGGGTCAGAGTTGATTATTCCTGAGTGGAGTGTGGAAAGTGAGACAGCTGACCCTGGAGGGTAGCAGTGTCCACGTGGACAGGTACAGACATGAGCGGTGAGGAGGCAGCATGGACAGTCAGACCATCTGAGGGGATGAGTTAAGGCTAAAACTTACTGCAGAATATGGAGCCATGACAGATGGGAGTTTCTAGAGCATCTCACAAAAATTAAAGAAAATCAAGCTTGTCTTGTAATGGTCAGAAATTCATATGTTCTCAAATAGATGTATTTACGTTACATCTTATGAGGTAAGGGGGAAAAAATCATGAGCACGAATAAAACGCAGCTTTCTGTTGATACTGATCCAGAACCTGCATTGCACAAGGTGTACAACAGTATTTGGGGCAGTGGGAGTATTGAATAGTCATACAGTTCCTATTGCTGCTGCCAGTCTGTACTTGAGATGAATTGGTGCTTCTGTGACCTGAACCAAGCTGGCAGCGGTGGAGGCAGTCCAACAAGTGGCAGTTTTCTGGAGGATTGTCCTTAGTGTAGAATTCATTAAAGCAAATGAACTTGTTTGGTTTCCATCATGAGTGGTATCTTTTGCATCAGTTTTGTCATAACTTAGTATTTAATCTTTAGTGCTTGGATACAGTCAGAACTGGGGTTTTGTAACCTTTTTCTAGAAGAATAACTTCTCTTTTCTGGATTATTACAGAGTAATTTAGGTTGGACAAAGGTCATTAGGATCAGCCACCTGCTTAGGATATACTTAGGTGAGGTTGTTTAAAGTCCTTGGGCTTTGTATTCACCTTTACATTCACTGTTACACCTTTTCATTCCAAAATGTGTTTTCTGCTTTTGTTTTTGTTATGGAATTATTTAGAGCCAGAATTTTCCTGATGGGAAAATTCTGCATTATTCTCTGGCTTGTTTACTATTCCTTTTGTTTGCCTCTGGTAAAAACTCCCTAGTTGTAGTTTCTGTTTCCTTCCAGCTAATCTGTTCTGTGCCCTTGTGTGTCTTGCCTACAGATTCTGCTGGTATTCCTAGTGGGTGTCTTGGACTGAAAGATGAGGTATCAGAGTCATTTGTGGGCAGCAACTTTGTGTTGTGTGTAACAAAAATGCAACAATCCAAGTAAATTTTCTAGTACCTGAAACTTCCCTCCCCCACCTTATTTCTCTCCCTGCCAAGTGTGGGCTGTGCTGTGCTCTGTACCACCTTGAGGCCTGCTAAAGTAATGTCCTTCAAACTGAGGATTTCAAATTTCCTGCTTCTCGGAATAAGCTTGGGCAGTGGGAGTACGTGAAGGATGCTATATCCAGGAGGAGGTGGTTGGGCTGGGAATAGAGCAGCAGGAGTACAGAGCCTGGCAGGAGTGTCTGAGACAAGCTGTGAGCTCTTAGGGTTGGATGGCAGTGGCAGGGAGACAGTGGCTTGTCTCTTGTGCTCCTGGCAGCCACATGGATCTTCTGGTTTTGTTCTCAGTGGTGTCTGCTCCCTTGCTCAGCTGAAGTCCCACACATGCTGGGCTGTTTGACATCAGCCTTCCTCTGGCCCCATTTCTCCTGCCAGCTCCTCTGCTGTGCCCCCAGCAGGAATTGTCAGCACTGTCTTCGTCCTGGGCAGAAGCCAGGATGTCCCTGCTTGAGATCTGCTCTCTTGTACACAAACGTGAATAACCGAATTTACATATGTCTTGTTTCTTTTCATACCCCAAACACACCATTCAATAAAAGTCCCCAAAATAATGAAAGCTGCTAAGAAACCCAAGAAAATAACCAGTTGTTAAGCTCTTACAGAAAGCATGCTTTGTTGATGAGACTGCCATCAGTTTATCACTTGGGTAGCCAGACATAGACTTGCTTTATTTTCTTGTCCTTGCTTTATGTTGTGGTTTAACCCCATCCGGCAGCTCAGTACCACACAACTGCTCACTACCCTCCTGGTGGGGTGGAGAATCAGAAGAAAGCAGGATCTGTTGCTTGTCTTCTGGTCTCTGCAGCCAGCATAAGTAACTAGTCTGCTTTCATTTCAGTAGAATGGTTCCTGAATGCTGTACCTTTTCCCTCCCTTTAGGCCAGCTTGGTTCTGTCTGCAGAGCAGTAGAACTCTGCAGAGAGGAATGGACTGGAGGGGGGCTTTGTCCATGTCAGTGTTTTTCCAGTGTGTGCATATATTCCAAATACAGGTTGCCCTCCCCAGATAGCACTGAGTGAAAGATTTGCAGGAACACAGAGTGATTGTGCAACAACTGAGTGGATTGTGGCTTTTGGAGAGTTGTCTGATGATCCTTAAGAGGAGGAGAAAAAGGGAGAAGTCAGCACTGATGTTCCACAGAAAATGGTGGGCAGAGTATAGGAAGTGGGTAGGTGGGGAGGAGGAGAGGAAGTTTGCATCAAAACTGCAGTTATTTCTTTCCATTTTGGGAAAAAGCGATGGTCAGCATTCTCATACTCTGGAATGAAATAACAATTGGTGGAGGGGAGTTGCATTACAAACTCACTAAAACTTTGCTAAGCAGCAAAAATGGCAACCTTAGATATACTTGAGGGTCATAAAAGCTTTGAGTCAGTTGGACATACTTAATTGTTTGGGTTTCTTTTTCCTTCAGTGTAAATATTTTTCGTTTCAAATAACAGCACAGATAAATACTGTTTTTTAAATATTTGAGCTTCACTACAAACATTCAGGCTCATGTTGGCTAGCAACAACCACGTGGCCTATCATACTGTTTGATTGTTCAGGTGAACAAGAGGGATCAGAAATACTGTTCTTGGAGAATTAGGAGACTGCCAGATAGATTAGTATACTAATAAAGATGCCCCACATCACCATTTTAGCATTTTTAACTTAGAATGGGAGAACTGCTATTTACTGCCCTGTGAGAAGGAAGTGGGAAGTAGGCCACAACAATAACAAAGCAGCCAAGGTCAACATTTAATGCTATCAGAAACTGGTAAAAGTCCATTTTAGTCTAGTTATTTTCTTGCTTCTGAATTGAGCCTAATTGTTAGGCTTAATAAATAATGTCTTTTGTTACAGTTTTCTCTCTCTTATGTTTTAGATACCATGTCTGCTCCAAGTGGCAACCCTGTCCCATCTGCACCACCTTCTTATGAGGAAACTGTAGGAATCAATATGAACTACCCTCAGCCCTACCCTGTTCCTGGCCCTGGGCAGAATCCAGATGTGAAGGGAGTGAACCCTCCCCCATACATGGGACAGGCTGCACCAGCAAACAACCCCAGTAAGCCTCAAAAACTCTTCTGTACATGCTAAGGAGGTGTCAAGTGGCTGTGTGACAGGTGCTGTCAGAAGATGAAAAATCTGATTCACAGGTGTTCACCACCTTCCAAAAAATACTTCTGAAGGGAATGACGTGAGCCGATTCTTGTGAATCCTTCAGTATGCACTAATATCAATACCATCATTTGGCTTTCTGCAGTTTTTAGTGCACCCTTATTCTAAAGACAATGTATTTCTGCGTTAGGAAATGCCACGGGGGTTTCTCTTTGTTATTGTGTATTTATCTCATTGCTCTGAGCCCCTAATAATTCAAAGTTATAGCTGGTTCTGGCTCGGGGGAAGTTGCTTACTGTTCTTTTTTCCTTATTTGCTCACTGATTAAAGAGCATCTTTCTCTGCCCAGTTAGAGTTCAGACGGTGTATGTGCAGCAACCAGTGATGTTTTATGACCACCCAGTCCAGATGTGCTGCCCTTCCTGTAACCAGATGATAGTGACTCGTCTCTCCTATGAGGCAGGAGCTTTGACTTGGCTGTCGTGTGGTGGCCTCTGCCTGCTGGGGTAGGTCAATTCCAATTTCCCCTTTTTTTACTTCTTTCCTGACCTTTTATAGTTCTAAAGAGTAACAGAGCTCTCAGCTTTGCTTTCTCTGTCCGTCTGAGCCCTGAGCCTTTGCAGTTCAAATCGCTTACGTCTGAATTTATGTCCTGTAGGACCTTAAAGCAGCTCTGGAACACTAGGGGCTCCAGAGCCATGTGTGTTCTTCCTAAAGCTTCATGGCACCAGTTTTATTGATGGATTTCACAGGAAATATATTTTAACTTTTTGTGTATGGAACAAGTGGTAAAACAGTGGTTTTCTCTTTTTTTTTTTTTCCCTCTGCAGGTGTATAGGAGGCTGCTGCTTGTTTCCCTTCTGCATTAACGCCCTCAAGGATGTGGATCACACCTGTCCGAACTGCAACACTCTTCTTGGTTGTTACAAACGTTTCTAGGCAGTGTCTAAACATTGATCGATGAAGCTGGTTAGCACCTCTGCAAGCCCTCTCTGAAGCTTCATGGAGACTGCTCGTTTCTGTGCATCTTGTCACTGGAAACCAATAAAAAGTAATGTTTCTTGCTAGGTTGTTTGAATACAAATTTGCCTGAGGGGATTTTCACTGTAAAAAATCTACATAATCTGTATGGGCCACTAGGTGCAGCAGCAGCTGAGAGCAATGGAATGTGTCCCTTTTTGCTTTATGCAAAACAGGTTGGTGATGTTCTGCAGTTAATCTTATCTCAATCATGTGGCACCTTGTGCTTGCTGCAGTCTCAGCACAGACCGAGAGGAGGATGCCTGTGGAGAACCCTTTAGGCTCACGCTTGGTGTCAGTGCTTTGGCAACAGCACTGTTTACAGCCTGGCAGGGAGTTGCCTCAGAGACAGGTGCCCTTCTTTGACAAAAGAAATGATTTCTTGGCATCTTTTCATGAGCACTAGAATTCACTTTAAAACTTGGAAGAGAACCAAACCTAAAGGCTTCTTCCTTCCTGGAGGTTGCTTTACCAAAAGGACAACTCAGGTTATTGTGCATCAGTGGTGATTGAATCCAGTGTCTGAATTTTGTTGCCAGTTTCAAGTCTCTAATCTGCAGTGAAGGTGTTCACACAGGAATGTTTAATAGATACTTGTCCAGTGTTTGGCTGGAGTTTTTTTCACTGCTGACTGTAAGTCTGTGAAGTGTTCTCTTCAGCCCAGAGAGCCTTGGTTACAGCATTGGAAAACTTCCTTGTATATTTATATAACTCAGCAGAAAGATCATGCACAAACCTCAGCCTTTTCTTAAGGCTTGAATTCTGCCTGGAAAACATAGATAAAGGACCTGGCTTCTAATTGTCGATGTGCTTGTCAATTACTATTTCTTTATTAAGAAGGCAAAATGTTTGTTAAGGAGTTTCTCTGACCTGTACTATGATTTCTTTAAAATGAAGTAAAAGATACATTTTGTTTTCAGATATGCTTATTTAAGACAATGATCACAAAAAATTAGGAATGAGGCTGTGAAGGCTGAAGTAATTTCCATGTCATAAGCAGCAGACTTGATGCATTTGAATGATACCTGTCCAGAAAAGGCAGACAGGTGTTTAAACAAGGATATGATGGCAACACTGTGTTATCCTCTGTAAAAATAAAAAGCTAAAATAAATACAAATAAAAAATACTACATTTACTGTTCTTGCCAAATGTGCCTTCTGTAAATAGCTGCTATAAGTTAGTTTTTCATAAATCTTTCAGCACTTCAGGTTTGAAATTCAGCAATTTTGTAGATCACGTACAACCTCTAGGCCTCCTGTTAATTAGGTTTTGTAAACTGCTGCTGCTTGTGAGTCAGTCTGCAAGTGGTTTAAGAGCTTCCTTGTGCAAAGGTCTCTGGTCTCCCCATACCATAAGAATTTACATCAGTAGCTGCTAACTGTCAAGAGAATGAAGGAAATAAAGAGCTGGTCGTTTTGTAGCTTTCCACGTTGATGCTGCAGTATCAGCATGTGCTTTTGTCTGCTGATGCTCCACCAAGTGGTCTCTGTGTTCTTGAAGGGCCTGGATGATTTTCTGTTCTGGTGACATCAGCAAGACACAAGTGTGTTACTGGAAAGCAGCACAACCCCACGGGGTGTCACAGATCATGTGCTACTTACTTGTCAGTTCATCATCAGAGCAAGGCAGCAGGAAGCAAGAAAGATTGCAGAGTTCCCAAATTTGGTATTTGCTTGTGTGGTGGGGAGGATTTTTAGTTCTGTTAGTCAGTCTGGCCTGGGTAATCCTCCCATACATTAATTTGGTGAGTAAGTTTTCCAGGTGTTATTCTCTTAGCTCCCCTTTTCTCTCCAGAGTGATGATTGGAAAATCTGAGGTGGTGGCACCAGAATATGGAACACTGACCAAAACAAAAGTGTTTCCTCTGTTTGATGTGCTCAGTCCATTGCTTTTCTTTAAGTTCCTTGTATGGATTGAGAGTAGCACATACAATGTTGGCAGCTCTTCAGTCTAGTTCAGCATTTTGCAAAACTTTCTGCTGCCCTTTCTGTACTTAAATTTCCTTTAAGGCAAAACCTGTGTTTGTTCTCTTGTGTATGGGATTATCTACAGAATGCACCACTTTGTTAAACTTATCTTGGAACAACAAATGCAGGATATAACTTGCCTTGTGTGAAAGCACTTTGTGTTTATTATGTTGAAATTATTGTTTTTGTTTTTGTTTTTTTAAACTGACTCTTTTTAAAATAAAAACTTTGTCTTTCCTATCTAGTGGTTGTAATTGGAAAATTGTAACATTTGGAATGTGTCCAAACATATGGAGAGCTGAAATGTTAAGAAATGTTATTACAGGGAGAAATTTTTCAGTGTCACCTGGGCCAAGTCTCTGATGAATGGCATTTTCTGCCCTGCAGACCAACTGTCACACACAGAGCCATGTGGAAAATGTGGTGTTTTCCTGCAGCTCAGGCACATTAAATAGTTTTTCAGTTAAAACACTTCTGCATAGAACTTTCACCTGCCATACAACTAAACAAACACATAAATATGGCTCCCTGTTCACATACCTGTAACCAGTGGAGAGAAAATACATACCAAATGTCACTGTATTCAGTTGGAAAAAATCCCTGTTAATGAGGTAAGAATACCCTGGAGTTTTTTTAATGTCTGAAGCACTTGTTTGTTTGTTTGTTTGTTTTTGAGGTGCAGAAAATACAGGAAGGCGATGTTAATACCTCACAAGTTTGTTCTAATGCATTGGTATTTATTTTATTAAGTAACTTTATGGTTATTTTGGTAATAAGCAAGTGGTGAACAAATGGTTTTTCTTCTATTGGCAGATACAGAAGTGCCATGCTGACTTTATGGGCTCATCCTATTTTCACAAATAAGGAAGGGGAATAGGTCGTCTGAAATCCTCCAGCCTTCCATAACAAATTCGGGTGAAACCTTCCCCTACCCCCACCTTCATTAGTTTTCCAGGATGGCACTGCTTTCTGTTACACTGTTACAGTGTTATTTCCATTGGATTTCTATTTTTCTATTTTTCATAGACAGAATCTTGCACAATGTTAAAATTCTGATGAGGCTTGAGCCAGAAAGAAATAAATTTGATTTGTCGTCCAAAATAAAAGCTGATAAAACCAGTAAAAAGCAGTTGATAGCCTTACCAGAGGGAGCTGTTAGCAAGTTTGGTGTGGTTTCCAAAAGCTGCTATTTATTGCAGTGTTTGTGAAAACACTTCTGGCAGTCTAACCACAAGTTCTTTTCTGAAGAAATGTATTGTGATTTGTCTACTCAAACCCAGTTAATCATTCTTCATAACTGAGCAGCTGTTATGAAGAGATGATACTGTCATCCTGGGAGTAAAAACTAAGAAGTGAAAGTCCTGTGACAAAGGTGTGATGTGTTCAGAGTTCGGGTGAATTGTATTTTATACAATATAGGATGACTTTTAATGTATTTTTGTGAGAGGAATACCCTCCTGTATGATACACTGTGTGTGAACCCAGTATAGAAATAAATTTGCCAATGAACATCTTATTACTTTTTCAAAGCAGGACACCAAAAGGTACATGTGAAACCTACTGATTTCAAAGGAAGTGCTTCTTGTTATCACTTGTAATTGATTTTGTTTTAACAGTCTGAAAATCTAATGTCTGTTTGAACAGGTGACTGTGTGGTCTGGAATTGCTAAAAGTAGTTGTGCCCGTGTCGAGAATAAACTCAGAAAAAGCAGGCAGGGTTTTTAAGTCCTTTTGTGGTTGGCTGCTTTATCGTTGTAACAAAAAAAAATCCTCAAAAAAAGCAGCTTCAGCGACCTCCAGAGGACTGTTGTATTAACGGGTGTGTGACAGGCACTGCTCTGGGACCTAAAGCTGTGGTGCATTTGGGTGTGACTGCAGGGCGGTCACAAAAGCATCAGGAGGGGAAAAAAGACAAACCCCAAGCAGTTTCCCACCGCTTGCTCCACACAGCCTCTGAAGCGCCTTCCCCTGGCCAGTGGTCTGTCTTGGCAACGAGTTGTACCAAAGTTACCTCAGGTTCACGTCTCATAAAATGTTGTTCATGAAGATTTTTCTTTCTCTAGGATAACAGTCATAGAATCATGAAGGTTGGAAAAGACCTCTGAGATTCTCGAGCCCAACCATTGCCCTAACGCTGCCAGCTCCAACACTCAGCCGTGTCCCTAAGCACCACATCTGCCTGTTTTTCGAATGCTTCCAGGGACGGCTCTTCCACCCCTTCCCTGGACAGCCGGGTCCAGTGCCTGATCACCTTTTCGGGGAGTTGTAAAGAGGAAGGTCTCCCCTGAAGCCTCCTTTTCCAAACACCCAGCCCCTCCTGGGCTGACCCCCCTCCAGCTGGTCCTCATCGAGCGTGATGAGGAGCTCCTTTGCTTTGCTCTGGACACGCTGCGGCAGCTCCGTGTCCCTCCTGGAGCGAGGGGCCCAGAACTGGACACAGGACTGGAGGTGCGGACACATCACCCCGTTTCCCCTCAGCCCTCGCTGACCCTTTTCGGCCTCGCCGCGGGTTCCCCGGCGCTTGAGGCCGGTGCTCCGAGTAGTGATCCCAGCTCTGGGGCTTTCAGGCGGCCCCTCCATCGCTTAATTTCCTGTGGGAAAGCGGCCTGGGGAAGCTCCGGTGCCTCCCGGCCCCTGGCGGTGTTGGGCGTTTCCCCCGGAGATGGGGCGCTCCTGGAGCGCTGGGTAGGGCTCGGTGCCCTCAGGGGCTCCGGGGGTCGCTCCAGGCTCGTTTTGGGTCCGTAAGCAGCCAAAGCTGCCGGACAGGCTATTCCACAGGCACTGGAAAGTGGGAGCCGCCGCAGCCCCGCGGGTGGGTGCGCTGGGGTCGAGTTTGGAGCTGTCTCCGAGGGCGCTTCCCTCCTGCTTTGGGCTGTTGGGGTTAAACATCAGTGTTACAATAATACCAACTTTAAAATATATGCGGGGCCTTTACAAAACAGACTTTTCCAGTTTGTTAAAGGTCAGATTTTCTTGGCAATAGTGGTGCACCGTTTTCAGGTGTCCCTGGACAGGCTTGCCCTGTTGTGTGCCAGATGGTGATTTTTATTAAATTCATTTTCCAAACTTGAGTACGGTATCCATTAAAACAGAGGAATACTTTTCTGAGACAGCCAGCCTGGGTCTCTTATATGTCATTAAACAAATCTGTCTGTAGCACACGCACCAGTATTGTCTTCAGTATTTTAAGATTACCTAGGACAGGGACATGGTGGAAATTCCTCTTCGGGAGGTTCTTTGTCAGCCTGTTTTGGGGGAGTTGTTTTGATATTTTTTTTTTTTTTTTAGAAAAATTTCATTTGGGAAGAGGTAGAAAAAAATGCTTAAAAAACCATTTTATTTGAGTCTTGGGCTGCATCCTGCACTTATCAACCACTACATGAGGGAAGTCAGTCAAGTGCACCGGCCACTGATGCAAACCATGTTTTATCTTAGAGGTTTGGCTTCAGTGTGCATTTAAGGATCAACTGCAATTCAGGCGTTTAACTCCTAGTTTAGAAGTTTCAATACAAATAGTATGGGATTTTTATATGTGATTTCTACTTGTGAATTTGGTTTGAAGTAAACAGTAGCTCAGGGTAAACTGGAGAGCAGAGCATTTGCTCTGCTGTGATGCCATATAGTTAATCTATTTTCCTTGCAGTTTTGTGGGATTTCTAGTACGTTAACTTCTCTCTCTCTTCTTTTGCAAAAGGGCTGGAATGCTGTTGGATTTGGGATCATTGTTTGTGTGTGTCTGTCTCTCTCCCTTGCTATACATGCGCCCCTTCCCCTCTGCCAGAGCCCCTCCTCTGGCTGCAAGAGGAGAGTTGAAATAGCGAGATCCTGCTTTGTGAAGGAAATTTTCTTTCACTGCCTTGCTCAGAGATGCCTTTGAGAGGAGGACTGATGTGTTTTTGTTAACTTCTGGTCAGAGGAGGTGCTTTCCATGGCCATGGGGTTGCACGCCATCATTTTACTCTGTGCCGTTGTGGTAG